CTATTATACTCGCTCTCGCCATTAAGGTATGGAAATATGTCTGTCCAATAAGCCATTGGTTTTGGCCGAAGTAAACGAGGTGTACGATTAATCCTTGACATCGAATCAAACAGAAATGCTATTTAGATTTTATTACTTCTGTTACTATGAAGGCAATAAGTCTTTTCCGGCTGATAGATAACATTATCATTAACAGTATAACAGTCTCATACGGGAGGGCGTTATTTATGCGCGTATGCTTAATGTCACATATGAATTTTATCAGGTAAATATGGTATTTCTCTATTTAGAAAGCTGTTGAGAGCTCTACTTTGTACGACTTCCAAATTTGATCGGGGCATCAAAGCTATTGAGAAGGCCCTTAATTGACAATTTATCTGAAAGTGATATTTTTATATTTCGAATATGTCTTGTCCTGGATATATTAATTGTACTCGAGTAATCTGCCGGCTCCTAAGGTGGGATTAATTCTTAGTCTACATAACAATTAGTTATCAGGAGGCGATTATTCTTCATCGATATAGGGATTAGCGATTTCTCAGCTATACCGATAAATTACCAGGGAATGAATCATTAACAATGTATTTCAGAGTATAAATTTATTTACAATAAAGAAATCAGAACATTCTAAACATGCACTTCTTGGCTGACTATCTTATATCTATTTAACTGAGATCTACAGTACGCTACTTATATGTATATACTATGTTAATGGGCTTAGCCGCTGGATTTATTTGTGTTGGGATGGAATTATGCAACAGAATCTACAGTCAGTCGATTTAAAATTTTAATCAACACATAGATTATACATAAATTATAAAACTAATATATAGGAATACCCGTATACGGAAAATAATTATAATTATAACGGTTCAACCGAATATGAAAGAGCAATACGTTTCTTAGAGATAGGTTGCGATTGTGGTTGTTCAAAAGTGATTCAGAGAGAAAAATTTGCCGAGTTACGTAGGCATTTCAAGCCCTTTCTAGATCTGAGCAAGACATATTTTTAATGGCCCAACTGAAAGAAATGAATGGTGGAGAAATAACTGCCAGCCGACGTCTTAAAAAGAAAACGCGCACTAATAAAAGAACTTTCTACTATTGAGATCGCAATACGCCTCTTTGCCAAAAAACTTATCTCAATATGTTGGGAATTGGTCGCACTCACTTCGAAAACGTCAGAAATTACTTAGAGACGAATGGTATAGTACCACGTGTTCATGGTAATATCAAGCGAATGCCGCAATGAAAGACCAAAATAACTATTGATATAACTGTTGCTACCACCGCGAAGAAATTTTCTTGAAAACTATGCGGAAATTCATGGTTTACCAAAAAATGTCAACCGAATTACTCAATCGCTTACACTTTTGCCAGCCGAAACGAGTTACAAATCGGTCTACAGTGATTCTATTGTAGGTCTCGAAAACGATAGCACATTGAAATTGTTAAAATATGACGCATTCCGCAAGTTACGGCACCAATTAATGCCTTATATTCAAATCATGAGTCCAAGAACGTATTTCTGTGACACGTGCCAACATTTTTGGAACGGCTTGCAGTATAATGCTCGCATGGAAGAAGAAGCAAAATATTTACTAAAGAAGTACAAGGAACATCTAGTTAAGGCTAAGTTGGAGAGAAATTATTACAACAAAAATACGAAATTAGCAGAGCAACAAAGAAAATTAGTAGACGAGAATTATCTTGTGGTAGGAGGTAAAGCTGATTATTGTAGCGTTGATGCTACTGCTCATTACAGTTACCATTGAGCACAAAACGTTCACGTACCCCATTCCAATCAACAGGTAAGTAAGATTTATTATCTCAGTCCACGTAAAATGTATTTATTTGGTATTCAAGATGAAGCAGTGCGCGAACAAATTAATTACACTATTTATGCAAGGACTTGGAGAAGAAATAGACGATTATGAATTTCAACAAGATAATGTTCTAGTTTATACAAACAAATTAACAACATTCTTTGAAATTCAGAAATAAATAACAGAATCCTGAGAGCATCTGTGAGATGAGCTGGAACGACGAATTAGAAAACGGGGCCCGCCGGGAAAAAATTCCAGATGCAATATTTCAAAACTTATTCTGAGCATGCAGAGCAGAATAAAAGCAGGTTTAAAAGCAAAAGGCTTTGCAACAAAGTATCGATAAATTTTAAACTAGATTTTATCTTGTGGTTATGCCTGAATGCCATTCCAGATATATGCTTTATTGTTAATATTTTATTATATATACAGCGTGTGACAAAAAAACTTGATAGTTTGCAGGAAAAGTTAACCGCTAATTAAACTTTGTCAATTCTAACTCAATTTGCGTCATATTTTACCAACTGAAAAATGTAAACAACAGCCTTTTATTACGCGTCTTGAATAAATAAAAATATAAACAAACTTTTTTAAATTGTACTGTCAAAATGTCAACAAACGCTTACGAACGAAAGATGTACGCTTTATTACATTATTGGAATAAAGGTGTTCCTGATCTAGCAAGAATCACAAAGCTATCAGTCTCAACTGTACGATATAACGTTGAAAAGCTTAAAAAACACACACTATTTACTTATGAAACAGCTTTTGAGCTGTACCGGAACACAGTTGAATACTGGTACAAAGGTAAACGTCCAATTTGTCGTATATCGAAAGACCAAAGGAAAATTTTTGCCTGGGGTGGTTTTTCCATAAGAGGAAAGACAAGTTTATTTTGCTTCCAGCGTATAATGGATGGCAAATTTTACATTAATATTCTTGAAAACTACCTTGGGGAAATTAATAAGATGCTTGGGAAGAAGTGGCGCTTACAGCAAGATAAACGATCCAGTAAGGTAGCTAAAGAATTTCTTGCTAACATGTGCCCAGGGTTATGGACTGGCCTTCTCGTAGTCCTGACTTTAATCCTATAGAAAATTTATGGGCTATCGTTAAGAGCAACGACAACCCAAAAATTAGAAAAATTTATGACAGAAGAATGGAATTCTATTCCAGAATTAGAATCAGTCTTAAATAATTTAGTAAATTCAATGTGCCGCCGTTGTGAGCTAGTTATTGAAAGCAACGGTGAGCGAATTAATTTTTAACTCTAATAAAACTTGTTTCATATCTTTCTAGCTTTTAAATAACGTATCAATCATTAAATTGGTGCAGTATTGACAGATTTACAACAGATTTGCTATCGTTAAGTATTTTTGTCACACACTGCATATATATGGTAAATTTTATTTTTCGACAATAAAGTCATAACGCTTAATTTCTCTATTTTCGATTACGTGAAACCGGGTATGAGCAGCCTCAACAGTTTACTTATTAATATATAATGATATTTGTAGGTCAGAAGAAGCGCGAACTATAGTTAAGATTGCAATTAACGAAAAAATTGAGGGGTGGTCGGTGACTTGATGACCGTAAAAGCGGCGGATAAATACTCACTTATCTAAAATAACCGCGATCATAATCCGGCTACGTTCCGTATTAATTTTCCAAAATATGATAAATTAAAATGATAGAAAATGACTCGTACACAATTAATTTATTTAGCTCTAACTGTTGTCGCATCTCAAATATGTTATATTAATATAACCATTGTAATGTCATGTTTAGAAGTATTCATAGAGACCGATTTTTTCATGATGACAAAAATTCGGGGGTTTGCAAAAAATAGCACCAGAGGCGTTGGATCTAATTTCTTTAAAGCAGATTCGTGGTTATGCACGAAGTCTTTTCGATGTGACCGAGAAAGCGACAATCTGAAGACGCATAATGCTGTAACGTGCTCATCTCACATCTTTGTGTCACGTGCGTTCAACATTTGGTTGTAAATCCATGTCACCTACTTCTTACTTATCATTTACAATGTTCCTCAGCGGATCGCGAATACTTGTAGCCAGTCACCAACGTTTTCTCCTCACCGTGCTGCCGGTTTACCGTAAATTTCATATCTCAGCTGCGGCCTTAAAATTATCTCCATTTGATCCAAACTCAGGTGTCCCTATCCAACCACAAGCTGAACCAACAACTCCATCGGACAGTCCTCAACAGGACCCTCGCTTACTACGTGAGGACCCTTACTTCAAACATCTGGTCAACGTAATAATGCGTGATGGCAAGAAAGCCCGTGCACAGAGGATAGTCTCAGATGCACTAGTATACATCCGAACTGAAACTAATTCGGACCCATTGCTCGTCCTAAGAGAAGCAATTATTAAAGCATCTCCGATAGTGAAGTTGTATAATAAAAAGAAAGGATCAAAGGCTGTACAAGTACCAACACCGTTAAATGACAGACAGAAAGCGTTTAGGGCTATGAAATGGACAATAGAGGCGTCGGATAAGAGACAGGATCATAGTTTTAGCGTTAGGTTGGCTCAGGAGATCTTGGCCATTGTGAATGGTAATAGCTCAGTGTTGACGAAAAGAGAACAATTACATCGGTTAGCAGTTGCCAGTAGAGCAAATTTGCCCATTAAATGGTGATTGCGGAGGGCATTGATATTTAAAGTTTATGTATATGGGTTCAATATGAAAAGTATCAAGTGGATCGCTATTACCGTAATCTTTTTCTATAACAACGTTGAGTTTTACATCAAGTTTGTCATTGCCTTTGATTAATTTTCGTCTAACCACTGTCTAATTGGGTAAAGTGTTTCACCAGTCGCCACTATATCAGTATTATTAAAAGCGATGTTCTCTTCCCAGGAATCTAACATCTTCTCTTCAGCCTTGTGAAATGCAAGATAAATGAAAACAAAGCAAGTTCGTGCTATGGCACCCAATAAACAAATCGATTGTTAGTTGTTAGTTAGTTGTTAGTTAGTTGTTAGTTCAGTGTTAATTAGTGGCGTTCCACCAAACCGGAGTTTTCTGACTTTTTATCCTCTTCCTTGCCTTATTGCGCCGCCGATCATTTTTTCTCAGCCAATCCATATAGTTTGTAAATTGTCGGAAAACTCCCTTTCGACTTTACACCTACATGAGCAATGGCTCAAAATGCTCAAATATCATAATTCTATTTCAGTAGAACAGCTCCCAGCCGAAGTCCTTCAACAAATTTTCATTTTATCTAGTAACCATCACTTCCCTCTGGTCTCTCGGACTTTCTACAATGCTGCTAACTGTCAGACCAGCATCAAGACAGCCTGGCTACTTCACAAATATGAGTACCGTCATGTGCTGGCCTTTCATCGGGGACTACGCCGACGATTCTTCAACAAAGACATTCTTTTCCAATTGGACGCTAGCTATCAGTCGGAACTAAAAGCGACTGGCGAACTGCCTAAACCATTACCATTCCTTAAACGGCCTATTCCGCAACATCTTTTCCGAGCTCCGGATCAAAAGTATTATGAACTCGTAAAGATTCTACTTAAGCGGGGCGGATCTCCTATCGCTCACAACAACTATCCGATTATAAAGTCGGCTCAATTGGGTTGTCTGGACATGGTTGAGCTATTACTCCAATACGATGCTAAACCTGATGTTAAAGGCAATCTTGCTCTAACATTTGCGGTTATAGGGAAAAACATTAAGATTGTAAAGAGATTGATTGACGCTGGCGCTCCAGTGGATGATAATTGTATGAAAATAGCAGAGAAGAATAACCATCCGGAGATGATTAGTCTATTGAAATTTTATAGAAGAAAATTGTAAATTCCTTATGTATTTATTCTATGGATACCCACATTCATATATGTTCAGGAAACATTATAAATAAATTATTGCCTATTGTTCCCCGCAATTTGCACAATTTTATATTGTCGTATTAGCCACTCAGCCATCCTATTTATAGTAAGAATCGCGTGACATGAAAAGTATAACCTACGTTACTCGCTTTTTTGAAGCAGAAAGGCTTAACCAGTCTCTATGGAGAGTGGGTCTAATTCGCTTAGAAGGAGTTATGGTTCTTCCGGAAAGAGAAGGTCAAAGCGCATGTCAGGGAGCAGTGGAAATAATGCAGTCACTGAAGACCTGATCTACCAATATGCGTTGCGAGTTGCGTACTTAACTTCTTTGACGCAGCCTAAAGCGGTTCCTTCAGCACCAGAGTCGAATGTTGATCCTAATTACAAAAGATACTCAGCTAGCAAAGAAAAAACAAGTCACTTGGATCAATTACATAGTTCTGTAACTCATGGTCTATATCAGCTAGGAGAATTTCTTAAGGAAGAAAGAAAAGGTCGTCAGAGAATTCCCAAAGAGTTAATTAAGGCTTTACAGACAAGACTAAAGAATATAATTGACGGGCGTGACCCCAATCCAGTTTTTCAGGATCCATATTTAAAGACGGAGATTAGCTTGTTCTATGATGCCCTTTCGCGACCTGCATTTCAGAAACAATTAAAGTCTAATAGTAAAATTGAGGATTTGGTTTTGATTTATCTCCAGACTGCTCAGATAGAGCTCAAAAAGGCATCCTTTGAGCCACCGGTAACATGGCAGGACAAATTGACTGAACACGTTGGTATATTTGTCGAATTATTGGAGGAAGCCTTGCAGTCTAGAGAATGCGCGGGAATTGCGAATCCTGAATTGATGGCTAGACTGAATTCGTATAAAAATAAATTTGGCGCTAAATCGAATAAAGTGGCTAACACTAATGTCACTAGCTCTAATGCGGATGATATGGCAATGGTTAAAATGGTGCAAGCAATGTTCAATGTGTCTGCCAATCAATTACAAAAGGACATCAATGCAATAAAGAGGCAATGCACTGAACAAGTAGGACATTTTCTTATGAATATCCGAGAGTGGGGTTTGCTTGTTGGTTGCTATTAGCATAATTTGTATTTGGTTAAAATTTACATTTCTGTTGGTATTTCAATCTGTCCACCCCGCTTAATCATATCTACACTATTCCATTCCTATTTATAAGGCAGCTGTTGAAGATCTAAGGGTTTTCATCAACCACGTAAATCGTGGCTCGCCATTCACTGCGAGAAGGGAGGATTTTGATTCAGATGAAGCATATACCAATTGGAAATCGGTAGAGACAAGGACCGTCTCTGACATAATGGCGGCTATGTTAAAATTTAATCCTAATTTAGCTCTAAGGCAGTCCAATGAAGTTCTCCCTTCATTATTGTCGAGAGGCGTTGGAGGCACTTCTCCACAGAAGAGAGCATCATTGTTGGGTCCACGAAGACAAACATTTACAGGTACACCGAATACAGATACTGTAAAGGATGCATTTGGTAGATACGAACAGCAGCAACAACAGCAACAGCAACAGCAGCAACAACGACAGCAGCCACAACCACACCCACAACAACAGCAACAGCATCATAATGTACGACATTCCCTGCCAACACCACCACCTCACAAAAACCAAGTGCCGCCTCCTACTCCACCTCGCCGACAATCAGGGAATACGTCTCATGGCGGCGGTCAAGTTCCACCTCCTATGCCACCTCGCCCAGGGTCGAATTCACCGCCTTCTCAAAGCAGCCAATACCATCCGATTGCGCTACGCCCACAATCGAGGCCTTCCTCGTTTACAACACCTTCTTCTCATTCTTCATTCAGTTCAACGTCACAGGATCAGCTTCAATTCAATCCTCAACAACAGCCGCAGTACTCATATTCTTCACAAACAGCATATCCACCGCAAACGGCATATTCATCGCAACCTTCATATCCGCCGCAAAGTCCATATCAGACACAGTCTTCCTATCAACCGCCATATCAATCATTCCCGCAAATGCCACAGCCGCAAATTCCACAGCCATACATGGAATTCACACCAACCCCAACATCATCATATCCACCATATGCATCGTCACCACTACCTCCTCAGCCACAGTCACAGTCGAATACAGGATATGATCAGTCACCAAAGTCACAATCAATTACTCAACCCCCATATCAGAGCAGAGCACTCCCACAGATTCCCACTCAACGACAGCAGCAGGAAAATTATCCCCCACCTTATCCACCTGCTCAGTATTCTTCTTCACAATATTCGTATCCCAATCCTCAACAACCACAACAACAGACAGAGCAATACTATTCACAGTCTTCATCGCAGTATTATCCACCGTCTCAGCCAGAATACCCCCCAACTGAGACCTACACAGTTGAGACGACATACTCCCAAACTCAGACAAAGTACGCAGCCGAGAAATCATACCCGGCCGAGGCAGCATACCCGGCCGAAACAACATATACAGATGAGACAGTATTCTCTCCTGAGACGAAATACTCGGTTGAGACGACATACATGACTGAGTCAAATGTAGATATCAATGAAAATGTGCAAGATGGTCCAGAACCTCCGGTAGAAGATGATGAAGCTGTTGATGAGGTATAAAAGATAATATACTAACCTTTCAGTCATTACCGTCGAGCGCATACTAATATCAACATTCACATAATGCCATATTCTTCTAGGCGCAATCAAACAGTCTTGGTACATTTACCTACATCCCTCCTCAACCAAAAACCTACTACAAGTTACTTATGACTAAATGCATTGACTACGAGCTCAGTATTCGCTCGCCCGATGACAATTCTCTCAAACTTCTTAGCAAAAAAGTGTCCGACCTTCTCAACGAGTGCTCTCTCAGATGGAGGATATCTCCCATATACCGAGCGCTGTTGTACCTGGACATAGTACAGACCAAGCATGATAATGAACACCCGTTGGTGGCGTTAGACCACGTTAGCGAAGGAATGCATTTGCTCAAGGACATAATGAAGAAGCGAGACATGTCTTTGTGGACGATAAGCGAAGTGCGTTTATTATTAAATTACAATGATACCATTTTATTGTTTTCATTATTTTGTTTTCCAGGGATGTACGGATGTTTGATGACTAGCCAATGGAAACTAATATTTATATTCTCTTCCCTTTGTTGACATCTTCAGAAAAAAGAGCTTTTGGACGTTTATACTCATGTACATCAGTCAATGCTGCAATATCTTAAACAAGCATTAGAATATTTGTATAAGATTAAAACAACGTCATTTGAACCAGTATTTTTAATATTAAACTCCATCTACGACTTGGAGATCTTCCGAGTAGCTAATCCTGATATATCACCCTTTTACAATGACATAAGAGAGACAGTAGGAGTAAGTATCCTATTTGAACTTGAATTACAACTCTTCTTAAGCAACGATAATTTTGCATGACATAATTTTTTCTATTTTTTATAAAACAGAAAGCGGCAGTTACTCAGTATACGGAACAGAGGAACAAGGTCTTTGAAGAGCAAAAAGAAAATGAAGTTCTAGTGCTACTGACTCTCTCCCAGTGGATACAGGATGAAATTGGTAAATTACATACGAAATATCCTGAGACACTCATAGGGTAAATATGTATTCGTAATGATTATTGGTAGCACTGATGGTCTTAAGTATTTCGTATCATATTAACGAGCTTGCCATTCCACTACTTACCTGCTTTGATAGACAAATAAATGTGCTTCAATTAATTATTGAGAAACAGGTCCCACTCTTTACATTGGATATGGAGAACTTGGCAAATGAAATTTTGCAAGATGTAAAGGCGTCAGGAGAGGAGGCAAAACTAGTTGACGACATTTTTGACTTATATCGAGAGGTCCTTGCTATTAAAGTATTATACGAGCAACATTGTCAAGGGTATGTTTTGTCCTAACGGTTTGTTGTCTTTTTTTTATACAATTTGTCAGAGATCACTGTACATCATCTAACGTTCATTACCCGAACCAAATTCGTTAATTTTGCTTTAAGGGCAAGCTTGAATTTCAGTATTGAAGGTTGGTTCAGGCCACATGTTCGTAAGTGGTTAGAGATGACAGATGCAAAGACACAAACCTGGGTACAATCGGCAATTAGCGTGGATGAGGTCGGTCTTAACTCTTATTCTACCCTACGACTAAGCATGTAAACAACCTCTAACACTATTTTTCCTAAAGTTTAAACCTATCAGTTCAATCGAGGCTCATTCATCTTCGGTAGTTGATTTGTTCACTTCCTTCAATCAGACCATTGATTTCTTGAAAAATCTTAACTGGCCAAATGAATATCAATATGCAAAATTCATGACGACTCTTTCAAAGGTTGCGTACACTCGCTTTGTAGCAGTAAGGTTGTTGTTTCCATGTGCTAATGCGATTATTATACCTTACAGATAATTTGTAAAGCATTGGAACAGTATTGCGTGGTCATTGATGATCTGTTTGTGGCCGACATATTTCCAGAGGAACCGAGCGAAACAATGGAGAAGCAATCTAGTTGGTATGTTCGAGCTAAGAAATCGGTTGCAAATAATCAAAAGATTACTCCATTTGATTTCAAGCCAGAGGTAAGGACTGAATGAATATCTCATCAATTAGTTCATTGTAAACATGAGATTAAAACTATTTTATTACTTACCATAGCTATGTGTGAAAATGAATAATATCGAGGCAGCACGCGAGAATCTAAACAAACTCTATAACACAATGGACGTCGACTACTTAGCAAACTTAATCCAAGATTCCGGACCTCCTGTCCCCGAAAAAAATGATAAACCGGAAAATATGAGCTATCTCTTCACAATAAAAATAGTTCGTGCTGAAAATCTTGCAGCCCTTGATGCAAACGGGCTAAGTGACCCATACTGTAGATTAAATGACGAAAAAGGTCGTCAGCTAGCAGAAACACGTGTAATTTATGAGACACTAAACCCACGCTGGGATGAAGCATTCGATATCTCGGTCGAAATTGGGGATCAAATGCGATGGGTCTCTGTTACTGTCTGGGATAGAGATCAATTGGGAACAGACGACATTTGTGGGAGGGCATATTTTAAGTTGGATCCAGTATATTTTGGCGACTTTTTGCCTCACGACGTATGGTTAGATTTGGAACAACAAGGGAAGTTGCTGTTGAGGATAAGCATGGAGGGCGAGAAAGATGATATTCAATTTCACTTTGGGAAGGCTTTCAGGGTTCTGAAGAGAACAGGGGACGACATGTCAAGGAGAATTCTCGATCAGGTTCGCTACTGTAATTTGTTAAAGACATCATGCAAATTACGTTTATTAATAATCGTCTAATCTCTTGCAATTGCAGATATTCCCATTCTTGACCCAATGCATCTCTAAAAGTGTTCTCAATAACCTAGTGAAAAAACCCTCCTTGAAAACGTTCTTCAAGGAAGAAAAGAAGAAAGAACTGACTGATATTGAGATCGAGGAAGCCATAGGACCATTATTTGACTATTTTGATGTTAACTTTGCCATTTTGAGTAGTAGTTTAAACCAAAATGTGATGTTGGCTGTCATGGGGAAGATTTGGAAACTGATTGAGACAATCATTGAGGATCTATTAATCCCACCGTACTCTGACCGCCCATCGGACATGAAACCTTTGAGCGGGGTTGAGGTTGACGTAGTCTTTAAGTGGCTGAAGGTATGTTAGAACAGTGTTTCATAACATATATGCTTAAAAATCAATCAACGTTTAACTCCTATGCGTAAATCTTATTTTCTATTCCATTACTTGTTACCCAGTTCCTACGAGACTACTCTAATGCAGGTGGTAATGGCGTCCCGGCGGAAATTCTTGATAATGCCAAATATCAGAAACTCTTAGCTGTCCAACTCTTCTACGATATGGAGACTGAAGCCCTAATGCAAGAATATTTACAAAATCAAATTGAAACTTCCCTTGCTCCGCGCAGGAGACCATCGAAACTTGGTAAATCTGTATTAAATCAGCGCAATCTTGGTACTATTCGTAAACGCAAGACGGAAAAGCGTAAACAGCATCAAGATAATGGGGAAATTATATTGAGAATCCTGAGGATGCGTTCTGGAACGAAAAATTTCTTGAAACAACAAGCAGAGGAGCGGGCTAGAAAAACCCTGGCGTCTGCAACTAAGGAATCCGCTAGTAACTAAACGTGGGTGTGTTTGGTTAGTATGCAAGATTGGAAATATTTTAACAAATACTAAGTGTGACAGAGTTGAAGTCTATTATTGTATTACTCATCCTTACTCTGTTTATATTTATCCGAGTTGATGTATATTTGTGTAAATGCTCTCTATTTATTTAAGCATAGGCCCATTTCAGATGTAATAAATATAATATACGTAATAGATACTTATAAAATGATTTAAAGAACAAAAGACATGGGATGATACTATTTTTAGTTCATATTTTTATGTCTTCCCACGGGAAGTCTTTAGGGATAATTTCCTCATCATTATTTATATATCCTGTCAACCATTCTAAAGCGTCAACGAGACCTAAAATCAAGAAGAGAAATTTAGTTGTTGCATGAATGGCATCGTAAAGGAAAAGGTAGGTCTGCATAGTTGTACTCACGTGGACCAGGTCGGTTAAACATCTGGCATTATTCATTAATTAGTATACATGTCAATATAGAATTAGCATACTCATGCAAATGTGAAAGCAAGATTTCCTACTTGATTTCCGTCTACAAGTGCCAACTTTTTTACGTTCTTCATCAGTTCAGGCCACCATTCAGATGTCTTTAGTACATTTTCATATTCCTTTCTGGTTGTGTCAAGATCCAATCCACATGGACATATAATAACAATTTCCGGCTTTTCCTTGATAAGATTTTCAGGTGGAACTCTAAATCTGAAATAAATAGAGTTTTTCTTTTCAAGCTCTCAATGGACCCGTTCGCTGCAAATGAGTTTTCTTCACACTTACGATGGCGCAGCCCCAATCTGCGCAGTCTGACCATCTTTGCAGTCATTAATTACTTGAGCACCGCCACACCATCTTATAACTTGTGGTGTCCAATGTCCACCTGCGTATATGGGTGCAGTCCATTCAAAGAAAGCTACTTTGTGGTAATATCCATTACGACGAGACAAGGCCGTATTAGCAAGATTTCTAGCATAAGTTATTCTTGAAGTGAGTTTCGTGATGATGTCTCTAGACTGTGTTACGAGATTAAAGGCTGTGCCAACGTCTGTAATCGATGATATGACATCCTAGAAAATTATAAGGGATGCATGATAATAATATGATACAATTAGTGAATTATTTGTGTCAAGAAGGATAAACATCGTGACCAGATTTGTCTGAAGATTAAATAACCATTACATCAATTGATAATGGGTTCAGAGTCACAACAGTTGGAACTGAATAATGGAATCATATTCAATTAGATACGACATGGTGATATGAATGCAACAAATAGTTACAGAATGCATACTTGGATCCAGTTCCTTTGCAGCTCTTTGGACGGTCGTCAGATCTATAGAACACACATGACAAAGATCCTATGGAGACATGTATATAATTAACAATCGGTATAGCTACAAACATTGGACTTTCACATTTCGCTGACTCACTTGAGTAACAACAACATCGGGCTTCAGCTCTTTCAGAAGTTCCACGTTTAGATCATAAAGACCATTGCCTTCTGAAAGTAACTGTGTTACTTGTCTGTCAATATCTTCTGTTGTGGTAAACTTGGTTCTTTGATAATGAAATTGCCATCAATTTGCGACACTTATTTAGTGCGATTATGACATTTTAACCATTCGAAATTAAATAGTACTTTGCAGCAGTGAGAATGGGTACGCCTTTGACTATTTCATGAGGATGATCATCTTCGTGGCTTCTTCCTACTAATTTTATATGATTATTCTGTGCAATAAATAAACCTATTATTTCTGCTGCCGAAGGAAGTAAGGAAACCACTTTTATAGACATTTTACAAAAATTCCGTCGGTAGACAAAAAAAAAAGTTAACGATGAGGCGTGGTAATTAATGAAGATCAGGTACTTTTTAATTTGCTCAAAAAAGTTGTAATCAAAGCAGACGTTAAATTGACACGTGAATATATCGGAACGAGAATTCTGGACATGCTCGCCACCATTGGAAGCACGCTGTAATTATAATCTTGCAAGATGAAGTTCAAGAATGGTGGCTGGTGTCATACTCTCATTAGTTATTTTATGATATACATAATATTAATATTTATACTTTTCCTATTGTAATAAAAGAGTGAGCACAAGAGATAACTAGACGAGCTTCGTACTAAAAATCCATATTAAATATATTGGTTACGCGCATAAATTCAAGTTGGCAACGTGTCGCGTGAACTGCGGTCGTCTCGTTCAGTCTTGTAAAAGACAAAAAAATTTATTTTTCCCGATCAGTAGTAGTACACAGTGAACCTGAATATAACGAAGTGGTCTGTTCCGCCCTTTTTTCTTCGCAGGTTTTCGTTATATCCAGGTTTCCTCTTTATAAGGAAGTTCTAGATGGAATCACGTATGTCAACCAATACAATTACAGAGTTCGAGCCACAATATGCCCCAAAATAGAAAGATAATCGAATTTATACTACTACTACAGGTAACTAAGTTTTTCTAATTAACTTCGTTATATCCAGGAAATTCTATTAGACGGACATTCGTTATAGTCAAATTTCGTTATATCCAGGTTTTTCGTTATATCAGGGTTCACCGTGTATGTGTATTATATTAGATCGACACCTAAAATAAATGTTAGTCTCACAAAACACAAAAAGATGTTCTCGTCAAAATATGGTTTCCTCTGCTTTTAAGGAAGTAACTGTGGAGTATTACATACACCTTGCGCCCGTTTTTTTTGGTAACGTGACTCATGGAATAAAAGAAATATTCGGTGCACTTGTTATGAAGTATGTTTAAAACAATTCGATATTTCGTTGAGCTCGCATGATCAACATTAATCAATCATGACATCGGTTTACAAGATATGTTCCAGAATTAGGAGGTATCGTCTTGGCCTTTTCCAATCTACGAGTATTAAGTCCAGGGCAATATATACTCGAGGACACCCCCTATGGTCACTTTTGGGTACGCGCTAATTTGTTGTTATGGGCACCCGAGATCGGATGCATATCATGTAAGTTTCTTATTTACTTCCGGTATTGATGCAATTTCCCGTTCCTATTCGATTAATGAATGCCATCTTTATAGCTGCTACGGTAACAATGCAGTCTGCAGGTCATATACGGCTTCGCATGTACGACACCTTTGACGTGATTATCCCCGTAAAGGAGATACCTCGTGACGTATACGGCTGGACTGACTCCGAGGCAATACATCAACTTTTACGTACTGACACGAATTCTCTGCAACCTGTCGAATTGTCGAATCTCGGACAAGGAGTATGGTTTAACAAAAGTACCGGTGATTGTATTGAAACAGGTTCTGAGCTGGAGTTTAAAGTTATCAAGTAGGTTTCGTTACGTATTAGCTCAAGCATTTGCAGTCTGCTGTTGAACGTAAAACATTAATATATTAACGTTTCGTGGCTAGAATGAAATTCGAAATTAAAGGAGACGCTGAGGAAACCGTTATAATAGGATCACTCGACACTGGAGGGCGGGAAATGCAAAGTGATCCTGGTTCCATGTCTGCATCTAACGAGTAATGATAATTCAACTTTCGTATTGCTTCTGAAAACTATCGTGTAAAATAGAAATAAAAGCCTACTTTAATAAAAGTTTTAGCCTGAAAAGGTGCTGTCTGCTAAAAACATCACTTAAGTAATATTTACGACCATTGATAATTACAAATTCAGTCCGACGACCTGGACCCGAATTATTCTGAATATAACAGTGAAACGCTATTTCTAATAAAACTTGACCCTATAAGATCCAAAGAGGTTGAATAATACATGCGCAGAAAATGGAATGACATTCAAAACGAATCGTTCAACTGAGAGAAGTAAATGTGAGATACTTGTTGCAACGTTAGATAAAAGTTTATTGCCAAAACTTTTGTTACTCACGCTTTGCAACGCATCGTACGCAGAAGATTGTAAAAGAGGTGAACGTACTAAAATGTCAAAATTTTTTATTACACGCTTGAGCTGGAATCTTCTGAGGGATAGAGATAAAAGGCCAATTTTAGATTATACGCTATAGAACACGTAAACGACTGGACAGTAGTTCGGTTGAAGTTAGTATCCCTTTTTTTTTGTTTTTAATGACAAGACGACCCTTCATTTACACAAACGTGGACGGGGTAAAATTATGTGATTTGCAGTGTGCACATAGTAAGAGCACGACTGTCGTAAGTTAAATTAAACTCGCGTCACCAATCATTCGTGATTCCCTGTTTTCTTTCGAAATCGTTCTGCTGAGGAGATGCTCTGAAAATGTAATAAGAAAGCAGCAGGAATCCCGAGCCCCATCCTCTTCGTACCTGTTCCTTTTTTTCTCTTTAATTTCCCTATTCTTTCGGCAGGATTCTTGTCACTCATCATAACTTTCTCTCCTCTCCTCTCTTCTACTCCGCCTTCTTCTCCTGTCTCTAACAACCTTATTCCCCTCTCCATTTCTATCAATATCCATATCTCTACTTCTTTCTCTACTTTTATCTCTATCCATACTCATACTTCTGTCTCTGCCCCTATCCCTGTCGGTTCCATCCCTATCTCTACTCCTATCACGTCTACTCCGTCGCTGTTCCGACAAGTAAGCACGTTGAGCTGCAAAGAGTTCTTTCTTCAGTCGGCGCGATACCTGTTTCAGATGCATAAAATTGCAAAAACCACCACGTGTGCATTCGGAATTCTCGTTTTGTCTGCAGCAGGCTTCGCGAAAGTCGGTTACAGGAGATAGTTCGGCGTATATTGGGCGACCTTAAAGATAGAGCGTCATAATAAAGGTCATTTAATAATGAATGAGTTGACAGAAGTGAAATCAAAAGTATGTTCAACAACCAACGGTTCGAATATTTTCGCTTAAAAAAGGATGTTGCCGCCGATTGTGTTATTACATACCAGCATAGAACCTTTGGTTTAAATTATCAACTGCCTTCTGTGCGTCTTCTTCGTAACCAAACCTCGCGTATACATTTCCTATCAAGTGATCCCCAACATTATCACATACATGCATTTCCTCTACTTCACCGTATTTGCATAGCTCTATAAAAAAATCTTCATAAAAATCGTCAAAATGTTGCTGTAATTGTTCCTCTGTCATGCTACAGTTCATATCGTGAGCAGGATTCTGATATACATTCGAACAGAGTATAGTTTGGGAGAATGTTGGTTTGACATGTTTCCTGCTACAACGATCTCCGTGTCGACAAGCACCGATCTTGAAGTAGAATGAACAGTTTACTCTAGCAATGCAAGCGAATGATCGTTAATTGCTGTGCTTAATGAAAGAAGTATCTACGTGCAAAAACCAGCTACTTACTTGTCCTTCTCCGTACCATATATTGAAGCTAAATACTCTGCCATCGAGGTCTACAAAAGTTGCGGAATAAGAATATATGCTTGGTGCTTAAATAATTTTTTCCCGATGACGTAATAATCATTATGGCAAGAATTAGGTTGCTTATGCACATCGGATTGGGAAGATCGCCTTATCCATTAATTAATGAATTTAGCACACCTACACTCGCTGATTATGATTTACTTTCAGTAGTATCGTATGATCTTCGTTCCTATAATTAACAGTTATTTCACGTTCTCGTTCTCTTGTTAGCTTAATTGATATTAATATTAATATGCTATGTTAGCTTAGGATTTACTTCTAAATTTCAGTATTCTTAGTTGCGTTATTCGTAAAATGTAGGGTGTGGTTCTGTATTTAATAGTGTCTTCTTTTTGTAATTGAGAATTTACAGGTCAGAAGGTGTATATTATAACCTCATGGTTTGTACCTATTCCAACAAGAATCGTTTCATAGATGGGCGACTATCTTTATGCTTAGGAAAGCCAGCATCATCCGATTGACATCGTATTGCATGTTTTGTATATCTATATCGAAAACAACTAACACATTGTATAAATATTCTCTCACGAACGTAATATTTTTTCCTTTGCTAAAGCCCCTATGCATCTATTTGAAACACATATTGTGATGTGCAAAATTTTAATTGTTTGTAGCCTTGTCTGGTTTTTGGTGGCAAAGAATGCCCAATATATTATATCATCTGAGAATGTCTTTGTTACAATATTAAGATTAAAAGCGGATTCAACGTTCAGACTACAACTAAATAACATTATTCCTGTTTACAACATGATCTCATTACATCCATATAATATCTATAACTCTATTAATAATGTACACACCCTATCTCACACACTATTCTAAAACGCACCGTTGGACATATTCCCGGCAGGCTGTTGTGATATCTGGCCCTGTCCAAACGGAAAGTTCCCCTGACCGATGTTCGCATTCTGGAATAAGCCGTTCCCCGGTGCAACATTGCTAATTTGCCCTATAGAAGACGTCCCCGTAGGCGATGTTCCAAATCCAGGAGAAACGGACATCTTTCTGAATGGGTTGCTATCAACCTGTTGATTTACTGGTGACTGAACTGGCGAGCCAGCAAATAATGTTGAGAATGGATTCGATGGATTCGTTGGATTTGGCGAAACCGATGGAAGCTGGTTTACTGCCTGGAATGGATTACTAAGAGAGGAGTTAGTTGAGACAACAGTCGAGGTTGTGGAATACATCGATGATCTAAATGGATTGCTGTCCAATCCGGCTGATGGTTGCAAGGTCAGTGGAGCTTGTTGTATGGGCTGGTTGCTTAGTAGTAAAGGCTGGTTTATTTGTGGTTGTATGAGTTGAACAGCAAGAAATGGGTTGGTAGCGCTTCTACCAAACGATCCTACATATTGATACGGGCTGCCTGTTATCACTGATTGCCGATCCTCAATAGCAGAGAAGAAATCAAAGTCGATGAGATCTTTTTCCTTGGTTGAGTCCGAAGGTTTGGCTATATATGGTAATATGCGTTTAGGACTTCGATTGCATTAAAATCCATTCATACAATATATTCCAAACTCACCATCCGAAGGCATTTTATCGGTGACAGGTTTAGAAGCCGACGACGAGGAAGGCGTTGTCGATTTGGTAGTTGTCTGTTTTACCGTGGGTTTAGATGATGTTTGGGATTCGGTACGGTTACGTTTTGACAATTCGTAGGCTTTTTTATTTTCTTCATAATTCGGATCATTCAGATATCCTTCTAATGTAACGGTCAAAGATACTGGTGCCTTCATCAAAATTAGACAGTTAGGAGAAGACTTGATAAATAATATTAACAGAGTGGTTGACTCACATGTTTGAGAGCGGGAATATTTATTTGAAGTGCTGCTTGCAATTTCTTGGCAACGTTCAAATAGTCAACAACTGCTTCCGTCTGCTTAGCAAACGTTTTGTAAATTTCTAACGAATCCTTCGCGTCGTACTTTGACATCTCAAAAAAATGTTCTAGAAAGCAGAAATGAAGCATAAGATATAATGTAACAACTCTGCACACAAATATTAACGCACATTTTCGCAATAATATATACCTAGGACATTAATAACACCCTCGTTCACCACTCGGAATAGAGCTAATAAATCTTTGACAAGTAATCTGAATGCAACTAGCGTCACTTCATTATCGACTTCATCCAAATAAAACTGAAGTGGATAACAAAGATAATGGTAATCAGTTATATTGTATTCGTAGAAATGGCAACGTTAATTATTAATTAAACCAACCTTGCAATTCAACAGAGCCCCCAGCTGTCGTTGTACAATCTTAACTTCCCTCAACAGTCCTTTATCTACCGTAAGACTTCTGAGTCTACCATCCCCATTCTCATTCTGTCTCACATAGTCAATCTTCAAATCACGATAAACCACGACTTTTTCTTCCAGGTATTTAGCATATGAATGTATATGCTTCTTTTGTTCAGCTATTTGGATGAAACTTCATTACTTAGAAGCTGTAGCCAACTCATTACAGAATGAAGGAAACTAGGTCAAATATGTACCGTGAGAGCCGGATTTATCTTTGAATCCGGAAACATTGATTATAGTTGGATCATTTGCTATATGGGCGAGCACTCTTTCACCGTTTGATTCTCTGGATAGCGTATGGATGACTATTAAGCTTTTAAAGACAACCTGCACAAAAAAGTAGAAATTTAAGACACTAATTAATTACGGTTCGACTCATTATCCTGTAACGACATGACGTTCAAATAGAGTCCATTCAGCAACTTCCAAGATCCGGTTTCTGCACTTCATCTATAGATCTGTCCTCGCTTACCGCCCAAGAATGTTCCCTAAGCCGGTAACGAAGCGTTGTAAACATATCATTCAAGGCAATATCGTTCGTACTGGCCTTTGTAAGCGCTAACACCAAAGCAAACGACGCCCGTTAGTTACAAATCACTGTCAAAGAAAGCCGATGTAATGGTGTACCTCACCTGTCAGGTACTTCCGTTTTGGCGCTGCGCTCTTCGATTTTGTTGCACCACGAACTGCTTTGTCCATGGTGTATTGAGATTATATTATTAGGAAGGCAGGAAAGAAGTAACGGTTGGGTTTTAATTGACTGATTTGGGCAAGTGTAAGTGCACTGTGGCTGTAAAGTTATAATTCAGTATGATGACGTTATCATGATATATTTCTTGTAAGTACAAATCACATGAATATCGCGGCTTACATTTACTTCATACTCATAATGTCATCCTTAAGCATTCTAGGCGGTTTAGAGGATCAGCTGCAGGGCAATAATTAGACAAGAAATGATTAATGATAATATGGACATTTATTATGTGACATAAATGTTAACTAATTTTTCCAATGAAGAGGACCAAAGCCGTTAATGAGTATAATAACCTATTCTTTAGTCACTCTGGTGCAAATTTAAATTTCATTATCTCTTCTATACTATTACTATTTCTATATGATTTTTTCACTTTCCCCATCTAAGTGGTTTACATTTTCTTCTCGTCGTCAATCCAACGTTGAATTGTCTCAATGGTGGGGTTGCTCTTCGAAGATAAGAATTTTGTCGTATAATCGTATTAGGTCGTTCACAACATTTCGATTTCTGGCCGACAGTTTTGTTATGAATTGTAACTTCGACGTTTGAATTAAGGCTCCCGTATTATTAAGCCGATTGTTGCAAATTATGCTATTAGCAATAGGCCGAGAATGATGCTAATTAATACTCCAAAAAAGAATTCGTTTGCGAATGTAAGTATTTTGTAGAGTTATTGTGGTTGCTCAAAATGATTACACGAGAAAGGTTTGCCGAATTGCGTGAAGCGTTTCAAGCTTTCTCTAGATCGAAACAAGATATATTTTTAATGGCCCAGCTGAAGCAATGAATGGTGGAGAAATAAGTGCCAGTCGACGTCTTAAAAAGAAAACGCGTATTAATAAGAGAACTTTTTATTATTGAGATTGCAATACGCCACTTTGTCAAGAATTACGAACAAATTAGTTCGATGAGTTTTTCTTAAATGCATTATATAGCTGCAGGGACGATTTTTGACAAACTGAAATTGGCATTATGAATTTTTATTGGGTAAATGTCATGTGATTGATAAGTGATCTGCAGAACAAAATTTCGGACTGTAGATTAAGATGTCCTGCACCATATACGAAACTATCAGAAGAGGTAGATGAGCATTTTATGACGAACGGTAAAGCTGATTATTGTAGCGTTGACGCTACTACTCATTACAGTTATGATTGAGCACAAAATATTCACGTTCCACATTCCGATCAAAAGATAAGATCGTTGTCTTAGTCCGCGTAAAGATGAAGCAGGACGCGAACGAATTGATTATGTTCTCAAGGAGGACGAAATTATAGGCAAAAGCCCTAATTGCACGCTTAGCATAATATTCGATGATTGAATAAAGGTGAAAAGCATTTAAAATAAGGGGTGGTCAGAATAAATAATGCTACCATTTGATTTTACCTGTACTTAGACATTTGCAGTTATTGTGTGGGATCATATTGTCGAGGTCGTGAAAGATCAAGCGCAACCGGATTAAATAAGGCTCAATGCTATGACAAAACAGGAAGTATTATTAACGAATTGTCAACCATCGCTTCAATCTTTCATCTGGTTAATACGCATCAAGTATCAATCATTTACTCATTTCAGACGGACTTTTTTTGATAAACATTTAGATATTTATTGTTTCAATTTTAACCCCGATGAAGTAGAAAGAAAAAGAAGAAGAAATGCATTTGATTATGACGTCACATAAGGTTAATTTTATCATATTTGGTTTTTCGAGTAGAAAAGCTTAATTTGTCTGTATAAATGGTTTTTTGATTCTTTTACAAAGTAAAAAGACATGTTTTGTTTGGTTAGGAGTTTTTTGCTGTACATGGAATTATTTAGATTAACCCTTAGGCAAGTTAACTTGTAGTGGTGGTATAGGTTTAGAAGCGTTAAAGGTATGCTATTTGCATCGTTATATATAACAATAAGAATGGATTGAATGCTAATTACAAAAATAAAAAATGTCGAAATATATAATAAAAATATCAAACAATAAACACCAGGAATACTTTTGATTAACTACAATTACTCAAGAAAAAGCCTATTAAGTCGTCCGAATAGCCAATTAATCCGATAGAAGTTACTGGGATAATCCTTTTATCTCTTGATGATAGAATCTCAGACAAACATCCTTTGCGTCCGATCCCAATCCCAAAAATTCCACATTCTGGCAAACGCCGTAGTAATTGTCCAAAGTAAGAGAGGCATACCACTTCTGGATATCACCGTAGTATAAGTATTCCAGAATAGCTTCGAAAGTTTCAGGTGATGGAATAGAGATAGTAACCGCATCGCCGTTTTGCACCGTCTCGAACAATTCCTTGAAGAACATTGATTGAGTTTCGAGGTATTCTTTGTGTACCCAGAACGGTTTATTGATTCCTGCAATGCGCAGTTCGGCGTATGCTGTTTTCTTGTCATTGAAGTACAGTGGGCCAAGGTCGTGGAGTTTTTCGATGATGTATTGGATGGGAATGTCTGCGGTCAAGTGGGATGGGAAGTCGGGGACGAATTGGTCAGCTGGGAGATTTGTTGCGCTAAGCATTTTGTAAATGTTGTTGTATGAAGTTGTGTGAGTAGTGTGAGCGTTTGTGTGTGTGTTTAGTGCTTTATTAGTCACTGTATTGATAGTGGCTTTGGATTTTTAGCTTTTCTTTGAAGGCTGTTCGGAAGACTTGATCTGCTTGCAACTTCTCCAGCGCTGATTCCAGCTGCTTTTATGCATTTTTGCTGCTACATGCCTAACACATTCTCTTAATTCATTTTCATTTGAATCCATCTTTCGATCAATGCGCAAGAGCGGTTTGCTATTGTGTAAACAATCCAAATGTAACCTTAATATTGTCGCGTGAATGTACAACAATAGTAATGCCTGCTATTTACTCCCTACATAAGACGATGATCATTTGCACATTTGGTGGTTTTGTACGACACAACAGATAATGTGAACAATAAACTTTGGATGAAACCCATTGTATTATTGTTTTCGTACTCTTGTTAGCTATATTGTCTACAGATAGGACAATTTTTTTGTTTCAACCATGAATAATTCGAGGAGCCCAGTACGATCTGGTCAAAGGGCAAGTGTTAGGATCCTACGTTACCTTTCTATATACGGCTAGGCGTCCACTTTTTTTGTAGTAAACACCTATCGTCCAACTTATTATGTTGTTCAAGGGGGAAGAAATAGTGAAAGATTATACGCTTGAGCCTGAACACGAACTACGATTTGAAGTTGACTTTGGAACTACTGTGAAACTTAAGGTAAACATAATACGCACGATCGTATAATAATAGCAATACATTGTGTATAATAGCATTTAAGATAGTCCGAATAATATTGTTGATGTGAGTATAATAAATAGTATGCAATAGTTCGGCATGCATTACTTAATTGTGCTATGGCAGAGCCAGAATAATATTAACACAAAGCCGTACAAGCATTATTCGGCGTTTCTGTCATTAGTGCAAATCATTGGATTATTTCCATATCCCATTATTATTATCCACTATTGTTGTACCTTTATGCTATTTTTCTATTATCTTTCTCATTTTGACCTATAATCATCCAAGTACAAACCCCATTATTATTATCCTACCCAGCCAAAACCATTATTTCTTGAGGAGCATTATCTTCACGCGTGTTTATCTTGTGTCAGTACCCATTGCTTGGAATAATACTAACAGCTTCCTTTCTTCTTGACACAAGTTGATCTCAGGCACAGCAGAGATCTTTGGAACTGAGATTGGAATAGCTCCCGAGTACGAATTCACGGGACGCAAAGTAGCTGTGTTCACTTGGCGAGGTTGTCGACTTGAAATATCCTTTTATACGCATAATTGATAAAATACATGCACACGAGGATTCTTTTTTGTATTTCCATTCCATATGAGGACAATTGAAGATGATGCGTTCTCATTGTTGAATCTTTCACAAATCTAATCATTATTCTGTCACCCAACAACCGCTTGCTTGGTCGATCCATCACCGTCACAAGACAATACCTAACCTCACATATGATGGCGTGAGATGATATTGTATGATTGTTTGTTTAATCTAATATCCTTGACAAATAATACTTACGAGGAACATGCAGCGTGGAATATGTTGCCACAGAAACACCAATGGTCAGTTATTTGAACATGCATCTAGCATTGGAGCAACTACGTGAACAAGCCAAGATTACGAATAAACAAGGGCCAAGGGTATGTATGACAGGGCCTATAATGTGTGGAACTATTTAATTAGTATTATATGATGCGTATACGCAGGCTATTATCTATAACGTACAATCATTATTGCCAAACTGATGTTAAGTTTGTGTCACTTTTCTGGTTTGTTCTAGGTGTTAATTGTGGGACCAGAAGATGTAGGGAAAACGTCATTGAGCAAGATACTTCTCAGCTATGCATTACGACAAAGTCACAACCCTATCTTCATCGATCTCGATCCAAATGAGGTAAGCAGAAACTTGATGATCTTATTCTGAGGAAAAACAAATCGCAGTGAACGACTAAGGTTTTTAGGACAACAAAATCGCGTCTCGAAGCCTCACAACCCACTTTCTTTACAATAGATTATCCTTTCGCCCTGTTCATTGATGTAGAACAAAGTAGCAATTCGAGAGCGGAAATTTCATACATCGCTAATGATATCACATGCTATTATCCACAGGGTACAATAACCATGCCGGGAACTCTCAGTGCGACATCAATCACGCACATAATTGATGTCGAGGAAGGCTTTGGTTCTTCTGCTACAACAGCACCATCGATGGGATCGACGACGTTGCCATTAGTTTATTACTACGGGTATGCTGATTCAGGAGAAAATTTGAAACTGTTTAAGATGTTGACCAGTCAATTGGCTAAGGTTGTCAAGGCTAGAATTGACGAGGATGCAAACGGTATGGGAATGGAATGTGCGAGAGTAACTGTATCAGTGTTGATGGTGATCTTAATCGTAATAATTCTCTTGCTCTTTTGCATTACTCTTTTCTCTAGCTCGTGTCTCCGGCCTTGTTATCGATACGAATGGATTAACAGATAATACAGGATACGAAATCATTCAACATTGTGTGGAACTATTCTATGGTTTGTATTACGTGTTAATGTCTTGCCTGTGATATCAACCCGTTGCTTATCCCTAAACGTTTTTTTTTTAAATGATTTAAGTGAACATAATAATTGTCCTTGGTCATGAACGTCTTTACAGCGATATGGACAGATTATACAATGACAATAATGACGTGACTGTTCTCAAATTGCTGAAATCTGGAGGTGTAAGTATTTGCTATCTATTCGCGTGATTTAAACGATTGCGTAACGATTTTTGAAAACGTGCATTATTTCAAGGTCGTCGATCGTGATAATTCCTTTCGTCGTCAACTTCAAATGCGCAAGATACGAGAATATTTCTATGGTACACCTAAATGCGAACTATCGCCATATTCAACGATTATCAACTTCCATGACTTTTCTATCTATCGAGTTGGAGTAGGTAGGTTAACAAACGTTTGAGTTTTTCTGATTCACGTAATGCTCAAGATCTTTCAATAATATAATTCGATCACTATACGCGAATAATGAAAATTATTAGGTTCACTCGCCCCGTCATCGGCATTACCAATTGGTATTGATCGCAAAGTAAGCGAAACCCAGCTTGTAAAAGTTGAACCTGATGATAGCTTATCACATTCCATAGTAGCAATATCAGCATCAGAAACATCTGATGAGGTTCAATTGCTCGAAGCTAATATATTGGGATTCATTTATGTGTAAGTTGTCGGCTATTAATTGAACTAGCACGCTTTGCGCATTGTCTTAGTTGTTATCTTATTTTATCTAGCACAGAAGTTGATACTGCGAAACATAAAATGACGGTGCTGTCTCCATGTCCAGGACGATTACCTAATCAATTCTTGTTAGTAGGATCTTTCAAATGGATGGAGAGCTGAGACACATAATTACAGGGTGTTCTAGAATTATTTTATTTTATTTGAGTTATTTGTTTGACCTAACTTGGTCATTTTTAGTTCGTAAAAACTACTTCTAATAGAAAATTAGTTTCATTCCATACTTGAGTGTGTGAAGGAACTCCAACTACAACATATTACTTTTGATTATCTTCTACTAAATTTCAAAAATGAACAATATAACCTAGTTATGCAATTAAAGTTCTTCACGCGGATCTGGCGATGGCTTGCTATCCTGATTATCCTGATTATCCTGATTATCCTGGTACAATTTACTGGTAATTGGATTCACAATAGCTTGTAACTCTTCTTTCTTTTCATCAAAGTCTTCTTTTGTTGCTGAATTAGAATGCTCCTCAAACCAGTCTAGTGTCTTCTTAATAGCATCTCTGATTGTCTCCTTATCTTCATCATTCAACTTCTTGCCAAGATCACCGTCATCAGCAACAGAACTCTTTAGAGTGTACGCAAAGTTTTCCAAGGCATTACGAGCCTCAATACGTTCTTTCTGTATTCTATCGTCCTCAGCAAACTGTTCGGCCTCCTCGACCATACGTTCGATATCCTCCTTGGAGAGACGTCCCTTATCATTAGTAATAGTAATGGATTCTGATTTGCCGGTGCCCTTGTCAGCCGCTGATACTTTAAGAATGCCATTGGCGTCAAGCTCGAATGTAACTTCTATTTGGGGTATACCACGAAGAGCTGGAGGAATACCAGTCAATTCGAACTTGCCCAGAAGATTGTTGTCCTTTGTAAGACTTCTTTCACCTTCATATACTTGAATCAATACGGTTGGCTGATTGTCAGCGGCCGTCGAGAATATCTGCGATTTTTTAGTTGGAATGACTGTATTACGTGGAATAAGCTTTGTCATCACACCACCGGTCGTCTCGATACCAAGTGTTAACGGACATACATCGACCAGAAGCACGTCTTTAACGTCCTTGTCACCACCAAGGATACCACCCTGCACAGCCGCACCATAAGCTACAGCTTCATCGGGATTAATACTCTTTGATGCTTTCTTTCCGTTAAAGAATTCCTCCAATAGTTGTTGTACTTTAGGAATACGGGTCGATCCACCGACGAGTACAATGTCATGGACGTCTTTTTTATCCACATTGGCATCCTTCAGCACTTGATCAACAGGCTTTAATGTCTTACGGAACAAATCTTGATTAAGTTCCTCAAACTTAGCCCTGGTAAGTGTCTCGGAGAACTCCTGACCGTTATGGAACGATTCAATCTCGATACGTGTAGACATCTGTGATGATAAAGTACGCTTGGCCTTCTCAACTTCGCGTTTCAGTTTACCCATTGCTTTCAAATCCTTGGTCACATCGACCTTGTTTTTCTTCTTGTATAGTTTGACGAAGTAGTCGATGACACGATTGTCGAAATCTTCACCACCAAGATGTGTATCACCAGCCGTAGCCAATACTTCGAACACGCCATCGTCGATAGATAGGAGAGAGACATCAAATGTACCACCACCAAGATCATAGACAAGTATTTGTCGTTCCCCGTCTCCTTTATCAAGACCGTAGGCAATAGCCGCTGCAGTCGGTTCGTTGACAATACGCATGACATTCAATCCAGCGATTATGCCGGCATCTTTAGTAGCCTGTCGCTGAGCATCGTTGAAGTACGCAGGTACTGTTACAACCGCGTGTGACACCTTCTTTCCGAGGTATGACTCGGCAATGTCTCTCATCTTTCCCAATACCATAGCCGAGATCTCTTCTGGTGTAAATGTTTTTAGCTCTCCTTTAACTTTGACTTGAATTACTGGTTTATCATCTTTCTCGACGATCTTAAATGGAAAGTTCTTCATGTCATTCTGAACATCTTTATCGTTGAATCGGCGACCTATTAACCTTTTAGCATCGAATATCGTGTTTTCTGGATTAGACGCTGCTTGATTTTTTGCTGCGTCACCAATAAGCCGTTCTCCGTCTTCTGTAAATGCGACGTAAGATGGGGTGATACGGTTACCCTGCTCATTGGCAATAATTTCCACTCGGCCATTCACATGGACTCCAACACACGAGTACGTTGTCCCTAAATCAATCCCAATAACTGGTTGTGTTGAGGATTAAACAGACAATATGCATACAAAAGTGTGAGTATAAATGTTTGCTTTGACGAAGATAACTTCCACACGTAATAATATCACAAATGCTGATGTCGCAAGATTCAGGGAAACAGTCAAAAAAAATGCCCATCATACTCCAACAACGTGTTGCTGATAATTTTGGGCCCTTGCTTATTCTCACCTGTTCCAACATCCGGTTTTGCTTCGTCGCCATGTACTAGTGCGATTGGTACGATAACTAACGCAATTATCAACGCCAGCAACCAACTTATCGACCAGAATCGGAGTCTGTTCTTCATTTATTATTTTTATTATTATGGAATTGCCTTTAGTATGTACTGTATCGAACGTCTGCAAAGTGGTAGGTTGCGTATTTGTTGAGGTGTTAGTAGAAAAAAAGTCAGTTTGGCTGGGCAACTAAAAACTTTGCCCTTATATTATATTCCTGCCCAATTTACAAACAGTAAACGTGTCAAAAATTCAATGATTGCAGTGTTGGCGTATTATCATTGGTTTCATGTGCAGCATGACTGAGTTGGCAATTTTTGATTGGCTAGTAACACTATGAATAAAATTGTGTGCATGTTCTAAAAAAAGAGGGAACGTCATACTAATATAATACTAAAGCCGAGTGACGTGAGCAACCATAGTTTCTTCCGAAGTAGAATATCTACGCGTAAATCGGTTATTGATTTAACCAGAGAATAGCTATTGTTGTTATTGTTACCGTTGTGACTATTATTACCGTCTAAATTATTGTTTAAAACGAAATTTGGGATCTTCTTTTAATGCCTCTGAAACCCACATATACTCTTCTATTAACTATCGCGAGGAACTTTTATACTCTTCTATTAACAAAGTCACCCCCAAAAAACTTTCATATTAAAATAGAGAAAATTTCATTTCAATCCGATTTTTCGTTTCAATCATTAAGACCTAATTATGGTTATCATTATAAATATATTCTGGTGCTTCCGATTATTATGTGCAGATCAAACTATCCTCATTTCGTCAAATCTTGCGCTTTCCTAACTTTTATGACTTTCTATTACCCGGATGGATTGAATCGATCAAAAATAGTCAACTATAATCAATCAATTGGCGTAGCTATGTTACATAACTAAGGCTC